GCCCTTCTCAGGGCCGACCAGGACCGAGCCAGTGGCGTGGCCCCGAGAGCCAGAGCCGGTGCTCTTGTCAGAGCTGGTCTGGGGACTCCGGGCGCCGTAATCCCAGCTTAACCAGGGCTGGGTTAGCTAGCCTCCCCTAGCCCGATAGTGGAGGACCTAGAGGTAGGCTAGGTGTAACCTAGAGCGTGACTCCCCAGTTAGACGGGTGAAGGGGCCGACACCCCTTCCAGTGCTGTACGTCCCGGTCTGTATTGTACCTTGTACGGAATGAATAAGTGTGCCTCTAACCCCGGCGTCGCCCGGTGGGCCGTTTGTCCAATTATAAGAGGCTTGCACAAGTCCAAAGAGTTATAGAAAGTGTGGGGTAAATAGTTGATGTAAAAGGTTTCCGAAAATTCTGGACCCCCCCCCCCTAAAAAAATATCTTTACCCCTCGTAGGTATATATGCCTACACACCCTACATACAACAGAGGAAGTAGTATATATTGACTCTGTAGTAGTATCTACTGACTGTACAGTAGTATCTACTGAGCCAGTAGTAGCCACTGACTGTAGTAGTATTTACTGATTGTAGTAACGACTGACCGTAGTAGTATTTACTGGCCCTACAGTAGTATCTACCGACTCTATAGTAGTAACGACTAACTGTATAGTAGTATCTGCTGACTCGAGCAGATACTCACCGTAGTAGTATGTACTGACTGTATAGTAGTATATACTGACTGTAGCAGTATTGACTGACTAGTGGTATATTCTGACTGTTTTATTATCTACTAACTCTATATAGCATGATCTACCAACTCGACAGCAGTGTCTACGATCACTACAGCAGTGCATACCGACTGAGGTGGTACCTGCTATCACTATAGCAGTGCATATTGACAGTGGTGGCACCTGCTATGACTACAGCAGTGCATACCGTCTTTGGTGGTACCTGCTATGATTACAGCAGTGCATACTGACTGGTGGTACCTGCTATGATTACAGCAGTGCATATTGTGGTGGTACCTGCTATGATTACAGCAGTGCATATTGTGGTGGTACCTGCTATAATTACAGCAGTGCATACTGACTGTGGTGGTACCTGCTATGATTACAGCAGTGCATATTGTGGTGGTACCTGCTATAATTACAGCAGTGCATACTGACTGTGGTGGTACCTGCTATGATTACAGCAGTGCATACTGACTGTGGTGGCACCTGCTATGATTACAGCAGTGCATACTGCTGTGGTGGTACCTGCTATGATTACAGCAGTGCATACTGCTGTGGTGGTACCTGCTATGATTACAGCAGTGCATACTGCGGTGGTGGTGGTACCTGCTATGATAACAGCTGTGCATACTGACTGTGGTGGTACCTGCTATGGTTACAGCAGTGCATATTGTGGTGGTACCTGCTATAATTACAGCAGTGCATATTGACTGTGGTGGTACCTGCTATAATTACAGCAGTGCATACCGACTGTGATGGTACCTGGTTTCACTACAGCAGTGCATACCGACTGTGGTGGTACCTGCTATGACGACAGCAGTACATACTGTGGTGGTACCTGCTATGATGACAGCAGTACATAATGTGGTGGTGGTACCTGCTCCGATGAGAGCAGTACATACTGTGGTGGTGGTGGTACCTCCTATGATTACAGCAGTGCATACTGACTGTACTCACCAGTCACCACTCACCCACCACTCACCCTCACCACTCACCCCTCACCCTCACCCCTCACTCTCACCACTCACCACTCACCACTCACGCTCACCCTCACCACTCACCACTCACCCTCACCACTCACCCTCACCACTCACCTTCACCACTCACCCTCACCACTCACCCTCACCCCTCACCCTTACTACTCACCACTCACCTTCACCACTCATTCTCACCACTCACCACTCCTCCTCACCACTCACCACTCACCCTCACCACTCACCCTCACCACTCACCCTCACCACTCACCAATCACCCTCACCACTCACCCTCAGCACCACCACTCTTTAAAAACGTGCTTGCATGTGTAACGGGCTCCGGAGACACTTGTAGAGGTAACTTCTTTATTACAATACAACACTCCAACAGTATTCCAACAGTCCAACACTCCAACTCTCCAACAGTCCAACACTCCAACTCTCCAACAGTCCTGATACTCTGTTACAGCCTAGGTACACATCCTAGGTACACAGCCTAGATAGACTACTCTGGCTACGCTCTGGAACTCGCCCTCACAAGGTCGTACAGTCGGGAGTTCCAGAGTCCCACCACCGGCTCTCACAGCATCCCAGGGTCTTCAGATGGCTGGTCGTGGGTCTTGGGTCTTGAGCTACGACTGGCCCTGATCGTCCAGGGAGCTCCGCTTTTATGCCCAGTCCCCAACGAGGGGTGGGGCCGTGTGCGCCCCCAGATATCCCACAGAGCACACACAGCCCCCCCCTTTGGCGGCGCCAAGGGGATTAAGCGCCTGGGAACTCAACGCCTGACGCCAAGAGGCTTAAGCGTCTGACCCACCCAGGGTCCCAGAGCCCCCAGCAGCCCCTCCCTTCTTATGTCACTACACATGTCGCCAGGTATGCTTAACATTTCGAACAGACACACACATTCACAAATTTATCTTTTTACATTTGTATTGGCACACCGCCAATAGCGGTGTGCGGAGAGAGAGCGGAGTGTGCGGGGCGCACAGGGCGTGCGAGGTTGCACGGGGCTAGCAGATTGGCTAGCGGGACCGTGCGGGTTGCACGGGGCTAGCGGAGGGCTAGCGGAGCGTGCGGAGTGCACGGGCAGCAGAGTGGCTGCAGAGTGTGTGGGAGCACACGGAGTAGCGGGGTGGCTGCAGAGTGCGCGGGGCGCGAGGAGAAACGACGCTGGGTCGAGGAGGAGGCCAGCGGGGTGCGGAGGAGAAGAACATAAATAAAGGACCAACGGATAGTGACATCGTGTGAAGGAGTCCTTTATTACATTAGAGTCAGAAGTGGACTTTTTCAAGGCTAAATAACATCGAGGAAGAGGGCCGAGAATTTGAAAAAGCGTAACCCACTTGTTACGTCTTCCGACGACGAAGAAACGGCCGCCGGCGCACGTCCTCCAGCGACCACGTGGTGGTCCAACTTGAATCGCTGCGGGCCGTTCTGCTGGATTTTGTCGCCCTGGTGGCGCCGGCAATGAGGCCGGATCGGCCACGCGGCGGGCCTGAAAGCGGTACGGGACTCGCTTGAATGGGTTACAGAGGCACGAGAGGCCGCCAGATGTGCGACAGCCCGTACGCAGGCTAGGAACGAGAGGTGTGCGTGTCGATCGTGTACACACATGCCCTGGTCGGTGGGCGATCTGGCATGGCTCCACTGCCCTCAGGTACCGGTGGGCACATCCCCTAAACTGCACAGGCCTTGGCGGGGGCCTATGTTGGTGGACATTCGGAACCCACAGAGTGTTCGCGTCCAATACGGAAAACGTCGGTTGTACGTCCATTCGTCGTGACTCAAACCCTACGTTGACCCGCATGCCGACCCCTCATCTCCACTTGTTGACCTGCCGGGGTCTGCTGTGCCGAATATGCCGCTTGCCTCGCCCGTTGATCCCCAGCGCGACTGTGTTGTGCCACCCGCAGATAAACAGGTTTTGAGGGCTGATGAGACCTCCGCCGTCCCTCCTCCAACGGGACCTACCCCGGATACGACCGAAACCGAACATTCTCCTTCTTCTTCTTCTTCTTCTTCACGTCAACCACTTCCTGCAGATCCGGCGGCAAGGTAACCATGCGCAGGAAGCAGAGAGGGTCCCGCAGCGCGTATGCGGTCGAAATCTCTTCTGTTTCGATAGCATTTATTGCCTTGCAGTCCCTTCCCTGTTGTTACTGCGCTGCAGGGGTGCCCTAATGTATGTCTGTTGTTCATGGGTGATTTTGTTTTTGTTCAGCGCATAGACTGCCCATTTCGCCCCTTCACTGGTTAATGCGTCTTTGACACCTTAATTAACAATTTTATGGAATCGGCTTGTCACCCTTTTTCCAGCCGAGACGGCTGACTTTTTCACCGGGGGGGGGGGGGGGGGGGTGATGTAATAAGAGCCTATGTTGGACTCACGTGGTGATCGGCTTTGCCGGTCCCGCTTTACAGCCAATGGGGGGAGAGCCTGGGAGCATGGCCTCGGCGTGATCACAGGATGTCAGCTAGGTGATTGGTTCTGCTGGTCTTGGCCTCAGCCAATGGGAAGACAAGTCAGGGGCGTGGTCCCGGGAGTTGATGGGGAATCTGGAACATTCGGCGCAGGCTATTGAGGATTGGCTGGAGTGTACCACGTGACCCAGGCGTTAAATAAGGAGAGAGAGGAGAGACACGGGGTCAGACTACGGAACTAAGACAGGGAGAGGCCACGTGGTGGTGGGTCTCTGGTGACTGTCTGCCCTGCTTCCCGTTGCCTGCCAGCAACGGGGAGTGTTTGTGATCTGCAAGAAGTGAAATAAAAGGACCGATTCCACAAGCCGTCTCCAGCGTGCTATTACACATACACACGACCAAAGGGGGGGGGGGGTTCTGTGAAACATTCCTGCTAGCCTTGTAATTACATTATTTAAATATTATTAGCTTAGAATACATCACTCATATATATTCCTGCTCGTCTTGTTTTGCTTGAATATGATTTAAGTACTCTTAGTTTAGAATACAGCACTGTAAAATATACAACACACACAAAAGGGTGTGTGAAATATATTTCTGCTCGCCTTGTAATCATGATTTAAATGCCTTAACTTAGAATACAGCACTCATAAAACACACACACGCAAAAGGGATGTGTGACATTTATTGCTAGCCTTGTTAAGCTCGGATATCATTTGAATGCTCTTAGCTTACAATACAGCATTCCAAAACGCACAACGCATGCAACAAGGGTGTGTGTGAAAATAACTTCAGTATTTCCTCCTGCCGTGCAACGCCTGTCAAGTTTTGCACGGGCGACTAAACACCTAGATGGTGGTGATGCGGAAATACCACAACCTCCCTCCCCCAACCTCCCCCCTCCACACCCCCATCATCATCATCATCCTCGAAGTTGTCATTCACTTCTGCTTCGACGTTTAAGTTCCGTCTCGAAAGTAGCTTCTGTCGCTGTCGTTGCTAGCCGCCGTCGCCGCTGCTGCTGTTTGTACAAGGTATGAGCATTCTTGATTAAGCAGGGTCACGCCGAAGTGGCTGTGAAGAGTGCTTTTTTTTTTGACTTTGCCAATGTTTGCCCGCGTTCAACGGCGGTTGGGTTGCCACCTCTATCGGAGGTAACTACGAATCGGGACGTAGCGTGTGAATAATGTAATCTCACAATTCCGACAAAAAAGTGGGGGGGGGGGGGGGGGGTGGGACTACTGCGTGTCAATGCATCGTCTCGAGCTAAGTGCATTGTCATGCGACTGCGATTAACACAAACTTGTAACGTGCCGGAAACACAGATGTGCCGGTGACGACCACCTTAAAGAGGGGCATCCCTTGGAAAGCCAGCGCAGGTGACAACCCTTGAACCTGGTGAGTTTAAATATTTGTGTTGACTTTCGCCCCCAACCACAACCACCACCATCACTAGGGCGAGCGCAGTGGATGCTGGGGTTTTCATTTATTTCTGGCACCCACCACCTTCCTTCGTGTGTGCGCGTCGGCAACACGTTTTGTCGTGATAGACGTCGTCATAGTTGAACGTTAAGGTCCTTCAACCAATCGGCGGCGGCGGTGGACGCTGTCGCGACTGCAGCGTGCGCGGTGCACGCCTCTGTCGGTGGTGCATCTGCTGGTTTGGGGGCTTCGCCACGGACGCGGATTGGCGAATCATTTGAATTTACATTCGTGGAACGACGGTTCAGCGTCGTGGTCCACAGCCGGCGTGAGTGAGCGAGCGGGAGAGAGAGACACAATCCCGGCGCTTCTACGGTTGGAACCCAAAGAGATTTTTCTGGTTTGCCACCTTTGTACGAGAGGCGCGTATCCAGAAAGTCTTCCTGGATTGAAGTCTCTAGGGCGCGCGGGGAGGGGGGATACATGCAAGGTGTACAAGCCCACCACTCCCTGTAAGATTAAAGTCTCGTCAACACCACGCAGGATAAGAATGGTCATCGTCAGTGCGAATTGGCGATCACGGTAGCGCCGGAGATGGACGTACAATACTGTCACAGCAAATTGATTCTCGAGTCTCTCCGTATGCGATTTTTTAAGCGCTCACCCGCCCTGCTCTGCGTCGTCGGGGGTTTGCTCCGGTTCTTCTGAGTTTTCTCTCGCAAAGAGCCAAACGCTCGTTATTGCGAGTGGCCAATCTTCCCGATGGAGGACTCGGTGTACGTTGTTATGTATGTTGAACCTCTTCCGCGCCGTACGTAGCCAGCCGTTCTCATCAACAAACTAAACATAACAAACATTTCTAAAGAAATTCGTTTTCAATTTAGCATAGTGATGTAGTGTATAGTATTAGAGTGTGGTGTGGTGTACGGTAGTTTGTATGCATGTATGTAGAACTTCTTTCGCACCGTACGTAGCCAACCGTGCTAATCAGAAGTGCTGGGGTAAGGACGACAAACTCAACACAAAAGGCAGTTCTGAATAAACGAATTTCCAATGTAGATTTAAAAGTGCGTCGCTCCAGTGGCTTCCTAGTATCGGAAGGAAGAGCGTTCCAGACGGCTGCAGAAGCGCATTCGAAAGCGCGCGACGCGCACACCATCTTTGTTCGATGGTTTAGCCAAAAGCCGGTGCTGCTACAAGGATGAACCGGAGTTTGCGTGATGGTTTATGCTCCTCGACGATATCAGCGAGGTGTTATGGTGAACTCCCTGAAATGGTGAATATTTTTTGTTTTGAATTAATTATTATTCATTCAATCGTTTTCATATGTACGTCCTTTGTTATTATGTTTGCATCGTGAAACGTGGTATAGGTGTATACTTTTAGGTTAGGAGTGGAGTTGCGATGACTTTGTCCGAGACACGATTTTAAAAATGTGCTTCCAAACATCTTGATCGGAATATTTTTAAAATGTCCAATTCCTCTTTTCACATCACCCCTCTCCCTTACTTGGCACGACACTGCTGAAAAACAGTCATGAGACTGGGTCAGGGTTTCCTGCGTGAACAGGCATTTTTTTGTAATTAACATTAATAATTATTAAAAAGTATATACAGTATCTCAAATGAAGACGACGTTATGCATTCAGTGCGTCCTCTCACGCTCTGTCTATCGTGGAGGGTCTCTAAATCCACGCCTCCGCCATGTTTCACTGCAGTGCAAGGTAGTCCAGATGTCTTGTGACACCCCCCCCCCCCCCCCAAATTTTTATTTTTTGCCTTTGCTTATTCATTTCTGTTTTCATACCCATTTGGTACGCAAAAATATATAAAGTTTTAGAGAATTAAATGAGGGTCACAAGCAGAGGTGTGGACTCGAGTCATGTGACTTGGACTCGAGTCAGACTCGAGTCATGAATTTGATGACTTCAGACTCGACTTGGACTTGCATAACAATGACTTTGTCCCACCTCTGAGGTGTGGACTCGAGTCATGTGACTTGGACTCGAGTCAGACTCGAGTCATGAATTTGATGACTTCAGACTCGACTTGGACTTGCATAACAATGACTTTGTCCCACCTCTGGTCACAAGACATCTGGACCAATTATTGTACTGTACTTCGTGTCGGGGTCGTCGCATGCTATGGCCGCGAATATCTCAAATGTCTAAATATCAAATCGCACAACAATAAATCAGTTGCGAATATGTAAACCCGCCGATGTGGGAAACCCCCGCGAATATTAAGGGCCCGCTGCACCGCGATGGAGTTGGCTGCACGTAACCCTCCTGCTGCTGCCCGCAACGTCGTAACGCCCCGGCAATGTTGTCTAGCCCCGGAAGCAGCCTGTAGCAACCTGGCATGCACGGTGGTTACCCATGCAAGCGCTGTCTCGTCTCAACGCTGTGGTTATAGCTTCTGGGATTTCACCACACTGGTCAGTGCAGGTTTGGTCAAGCTGGCGAGCATATATTCGGTGGGAGCATAGAAGCGCAGTACAACGATGCATTTCCTCAGCACTGCCCTCTGCCGCACACAAACAATCCGGCTGCAATTGTGCTGCAACTGTGCCCCGTTGTGTTGATATATAATGCGCCCACAAGTTATTTCGGTCAATGCCTGAAGAAAAATAGCAAGTAGGAAAATCATTGCACTCTTGTGCAGCCCTACGGCGGCGTTCTTAGGCAACAGGTCTGTAAAAACATCATCGGCAGTTACGATGTTTTTGCGCTTCAAATAAAAAACATCTTATAAACCACCGTAAAACTGAACTACCTCCCTCTGTGAGGTGCATTCTTCTTGTTTACGTTTTGAGGGATTTCAATAATTTTTTATCAACGCGTTATCACCAAATCCTTAGTTTTATTTGAGTTGCCTCGATATTATTAATCACGTGATGATCCAACGTCAAGTTGCACGATATGACGATTATCGCGAGACGAATTTCCCACGACTTTGTAATTTACATTGCACTTTTATTTGTGTTGTGCATTGCTGTACCTTCAGTTCGAATAAGGATCCACTTAAAAGTTATCCAAATGCAACTGACTCAGCATAAGCCTGCCACAGGTGACTTCAGACTCGACTTGGACTTGCATAACAATGACTTTGTCCCACCTCTGGTCACAAGACATCTGGACCAATTATTGTACTGTACTTCGTGTCGGGGTCGTCGCATGCTATGGCCGCGAATATCTCAAATGTCTAAATATCAAATCGCACAACAATAAATCAGTTGCGAATATGTAAACCCGCCGATGTGGGAAACCCCCGCGAATATTAAGGGCCCGCTGCACCGCGATGGAGTTGGCTGCACGTAACCCTCCTGCTGCTGCCCGCAACGTCGTAACGCCCCGGCAATGTTGTCTAGCCCCGGAAGCAGCCTGTAGCAACCTGGCATGCACGGTGGTTACCCATGCAAGCGCTGTCTCGTCTCAACGCTGTGGTTATAGCTTCTGGGATTTCACCACACTGGTCAGTGCAGGTTTGGTCAAGCTGGCGAGCATATATTCGGTGGGAGCATAGAAGCGCAGTACAACGATGCATTTCCTCAGCACTGCCCTCTGCCGCACACAAACAATCCGGCTGCAATTGTGCTGCAACTGTGCCCCGTTGTGTTGATATATAATGCGCCCACAAGTTATTTCGGTCAATGCCTGAAGAAAAATAGCAAGTAGGAAAATCATTGCACTCTTGTGCAGCCCTACGGCGGCGTTCTTAGGCAACAGGTCTGTAAAAACATCATCGGCAGTTACGATGTTTTTGCGCTTCAAATAAAAAACATCTTATAAACCACCGTAAAACTGAACTACCTCCCTCTGTGAGGTGCATTCTTCTTGTTTACGTTTTGAGGGATTTCAATAATTTTTTTATCAACGCGTTATCACCAAATCCTTAGTTTTATTTGAGTTGCCTCGATATTATTAATCACGTGATGATCCAACGTCAAGTTGCACGATATGACGATTATCGCGAGACGAATTTCCCACGACTTTGTAATTTACATTGCACTTTTATTTGTGTTGTGCATTGCTGTACCTTCAGTTCGAATAAGGATCCACTTAAAAGTTATCCAAATGCAACTGACTCAGCATAAGCCTGCCACAGGTCTTCGAATCGTTGTACGATACAATCCATAATGCCAATAAGGAGCCGTCCATAAATGACGTCACGCGATTTTGGACAATTTTTGACCCCCCCCCCCCCCCTTCGTTCGCACGGCGTCACAAAAAGTCAGACCCCCCCCTCAAATATGACGTCACAAAGCTCTGCCCCCCCCCCCCCAAATAAAACATGCTTCAAATCGCTTTAAACTATTGTCATTATAGTGCGTATTTAATGTGGCGCTGCACTCTGATGTTGTAGGAGAAAACATTTATTAAAAAGTCTATTTAATTAAGTAGAACGTGTTGTCTATATTTATTTAAAGTTGCGCATTTTGATGTGACGTTACATTTCTCAACCCCCCCCGGACCCCCCCCCCCCCCGATGCGTGACGTCATTTATGGACGGCCCCTAACTACGTGTGCTGTCCACCGCATCGTGCCATCTAGGACCAGTATATGGTTTATGTTGTAAGCGTAATCATTGGGAACGTCTGATTGGGCTATGAAATGTAGAGGGTAGCCGCCAATACATGTGTAATGACGACTTGACAGACTTCTCTTGAGATGGCACTTTATTGAAGACACGTTCACTTGACATCAGGTGGAGACCCCCACTGCAACAGCCCCGAGTCTCCCGCGCATCTCTCTTTTATATCAACACGAGACCACGCCCCCCTTCTCGATCATTCTCACTGGCTCTGGACCCTCGATCTAGCGGCAGACTCCACCGTCCTTTTACGTCACCTGACCACGCTCCCCTTCTCGATCATTCCCGTAGCCACCAGTCCCTTCGCACTCACAACTGATACCCCTGTCATTACCTCCTGTGGCCACTAATGCATTCGTACTGTAAGCTGACTTCCTGTCATTA